AGGTGATTTAAGGAGCAGCTCTGCCTCGTCTCCCACCTAGCTCCAGACCCTTTCTCTGAGACTGGGATCCTGGTCTTGGATCATCGTGACCTGGGAGGCAACTTCCCCGGGGCCTCTAGGCCAAGAGTTTTCAGGGTTGGTTTATGCCCTTTCTATTAGACCATCTCTGCTGCCCAGGACTTCCTGCTGCCTAGGACTTCCTGTGAACACGGGTTTGTCCGCGTATTTGCCACGTCTGTGTTGGACGCCTCAGATATGAAGAGGACCCTTGTGGTGCTCATATGTTTTGAGGGAGAGGAAGTAGATGATCACAACATGCTGTCAGGATAGAGGTGAAGAAGATCAGTTTATACTGGGGACAAAACAACCCAGACTGAAGGTTCAGAGAGAGCGGCTCAGAAGAGTGGCCCACAGGCAGGCTTTGGAAGGTGCAGTTCACGGAGCCCGAGGGGAGACTGGTCTGGGTGGTATCTGGATGCGAGCCTTCGTCCAGGACTGTTTTCTCACCAGAGACCCCTCTCAGGGACAAGCACAGCGTCAGACACCGGCCTCCTGGGAAGTCTTGGGAATGTTGACTGCCGAACAACAATAGCAACCACAACCACCACGACCGCCACAACCACCGCGTAGGGTGAAAGGTGAAAGTTCTGCCCAGTGCCATCGAGGTTAACGCTTGGGTGGGAGAGGAAATGAGGCAGGTACTGTCTATCCAGAGCGCCGGGCTCAGACTCACCTTTAGAAACCAGATCTGCCCAGGATCTGCACTGGTGGAGCACAGGGAGATCACGGTGTCTCTCTATCAAAGCAGGCTCTGCGGAGGGCTGACAGCTGTTCCCAGGGAAGCCGATGAGGTCTCCTGTTTGGGCCGTGGGCTGGCAGCCAGGGGCACACGTGCTGTCTTTGGGGACCTGGAACCACATGTGGTGAAGCGGGGCCTGGGGCCAGGATTCTCACTTTCTCCTACTGTGTCTGTGAGTTTTTCAGCCTCCGGGGAGAATGTTTCTCTCCTTTATAGTGTTTGTGCTAATGAAAGTGCCCAGCACATTAGCAGAGTTCATCAGATGGTTGATAATGTCGTGGGTCTTTATCGCCCCAGGGCATTGGGAAAAACCTGGAGCCATTTAGAAACTCAGTATTTTTTTTTTTTTTATTTGCTACAGATTTAAAAAAAAATACTAAAAATCACACAGATGATGACGTGCTGTAATCAGTGGTCACCGTGCACACAGTTGTCCTTTTTACATCTGGAGCCTGCCTTTCTGCAGCAGCCATTCGGTGGGTGGAATGAACCCAGCCATCTAGGATGTTCACTGTTTTGCAGAGTAAGCTAGGAAGAACTTTCGGAGAGGCATGATGCGCTGATCCTCTGAACTGAGCCCTGGCCCGGTCACAGACTGACCTGCCTTCCTCCAGCCTGCACTTGGGCATAGGGCTGGGACCTGGGTGCGCTGAACTCCCTGCACTCAGAAGAGAGCTCGGGACACCCAAACCGGATGGTGATGGAGACAAGGCTTCTCCCTGTTCCACTGCCATGGAACAGTGGGATCTGCTTAGTTCAGATCCCATTTTTGGCCTGGATTCTGACAGCAGTCTTCTCATTCCTACCTCTTTGTTGAATCTAAACTCTTAAAGCATTGTGTGTGCGTGTGTGCATGCATGCGTGCATGTGTGCATGCATGTGTGTGGTGCTGGAGACTGAGTCTTCACATTGAGCAACATCCCCAGTCTCTTCCCTCCCCTTTAACATTTTATTTTGAGACAGTGTCTCTCTCAATTGCTAAGTTGCTGAGGCTGGGCTTAAATTTATGATTCTCCTGCCTCAGCCTCCCAAAGTGCCGAGATTACAAACCTCCTTTTATTCTCAAATCACATCAATCAGTTGGATGGGAGTAGTGGTGCATGTCTGCAATCCCAGCACTCAGGAGGCTGAGGCAGGAGGGCCACTTTGAGTTTGAGGCCAGCCTGGAATATAGAGTGAGTTCAACGCCAGCCTGAACTGCATAGTGAAACCCTGTCTAGGGGCTGGGGATTTAGCTCAGCGGCACAGTGCCTGCTTAACAAGCACGAGGTCGTGAGTTTGGTTCCTGGTACCGCAAAAGAAAAACAAAAAATTAATTAATTAAAAAAAAAAGAAACCCTGTCTCAAAAAGAAAAAAAATCATCTACTCCTCATTTTTACAGGTGATTTCAAGTTTTTCAGGTGGCACTAGAGGCCCTTTAGCATCTGTCCCCAACTTCCTTCCCAGCTCCTCGCTCATACAACTGCACTCTGCACTGACTTTTCTGGATATTCTTCAGGGGTCACTGCCTTTGTTCAAGTCCACCCTTTTTAAGGTTGAATTAATTGTATATTTGTTTTGTTTTGTGACAAGGTCTTGCTACATTGCTCTGGCTGGCCTTGAACTCTTCTTTTTTATGTTTTTTGAGACAGTCTCACTGGGGGCGTAGTCCAGGGTGGCCTGAAACTCCCAGCAATCCTCCTGCCTCAGCCTTCCATATGCTGGGATTATAGATGTGTACTACCATGCCTGGGTTAAGGTTGAATTTAAAGATACCTCAGAGCAGTTGAGTTGAACATTTGCCCTAAGACACCTGCTCTGGGAAAGGAGCCTTGCCTGGCCCTATGCTCTCTACCGGGCTAAATTAATAATTCTTCATGCTTTCTTAGCAGCCTGCAGGCTTCGTTGGTGACACTTTGTACAGCGGTTGGCTGCTGACGTGTCTGCTTCCTCAGCATCTGGTAGGGGCTGGCACAGCTGGGCACCCACAGAACTGGGTGGAGAGTGAGTCAGGGAAAATTCCTGTAGGGAAGTGAGCCCTGAGCTGCTGACCCAAAGGAGAAGCACTTTTTCCCTCTTCTCCCTTCCTTCCTGGTCCTGTGCTGAAAGAAAATAGATGAAACTGACTTTTAAAAGGGAAATGCATATATTTTGAATTGAGGGTTGGATTCTTCTACCCTGGATATGATTAAATAATGCACAGACCTCCCTCCTGTCCTTCCCTCTTCCCTTCCTTCACACATTTCTTGAACACCTAGGATGTGCAGACATGGGCTTCAGAAATGAATATACTATGCCTTTATGTTTTCCTATCTAATTAATGTTCATGCTGGAACTTGCCTTTATGTTTCACTGGATATGAGTTCAAGTCTTGGCAAGCTACTTGTGACTTGGCAGGTCATAAGTCATGTCACCATTCTGGGTCCGTCTTTCTTTCTTTCTTTCTTTCTTTCTTTCTTTCTTTCTTTCTTTCTTTCTTTCTCTTTCTTTATCTCTGCCTTCCTTCCTGCCTGCCTGCCTGCCTGCCTGCCTTCCTTCCTTCTTTCCTTCCTTTTGAAATAGGGTCTCATTATGTAGTCCAAGCTGGCCTCAAACTTGTGGCAATCCTCCTACCTCAGCCTCTTGAGTTCTTTGATTGCAGGCATATACCACCATGCCTGGTTAGTTTCCTTTTTTTTAGATCACTACTAGGAATTAACTCAGGGCTTTGAACTTGTTACATGAGCAAGCAATCTAGGGCTTTATGCCTCAGACTTTTAAAAAGTTTTATTTTGAGACAGTGTCTTAGTAATTTCCCCAGCCTGGCCTTGAACTTGGGACCCTCCTGCTTCATCTTCATGGTATTTTCTTGTGTGTATCACAAAGGCGACAATGTTGTCCTCACTGGGTGGTGTTGATCCTGTGTGTGAAGAGTTGAGCAGGTGCCTTTGACAGTGGTTTATCCTTGAGGGAAGCTACTTTCAGACCGGAAGGGTCTTGAGGACAGTGACCATGTCCAGTTCATCAGTGTGTCCTCGGTGCCCAGTGTGGATCTAGGCACACAGTACGTGAGGGAGATCACCCAGATCGCCCCAGGCTTCTGGGGCTCCTTCCTGCATCTTAGGAAACCCTTTAGCTCAGTCCTGGGCAAATTGGACAGTGGGTCACCTTGTGGTACCTTTTCCATAAAGGTCTGTGGACTAGGATACTAATGAATTAATTATTAGAGTAGGGCAGAGGCGGGACTTGGATGAATAAGAGCAAGCTCAGGGTGCTGGCTTATGGGGTGACAGGAGACCTTGTGAGAGACAAAGTGGCAGAAGTGTCTGGAGGCCCAGGAGGTGGCCACTGGGACGAGGGAAGTGCTTGGCAGGGTGTAGGGAAGACTCAAGGTCTTGGAGTCTGTAAGGGGATTGCTCTGAGACAGGGTCCAGGCCTCCAAGCGCAGCACTTCCTCGGACACGCCCAGGAAGAAGACAATGGTTGACTGCGCTTCCCAGGAAGGCCTGAAGTGAGCCCCCAGCTGCTCCTCTGCCGAGTAGCTGGAGCCCTCTCCCTCTCCAACCTACTGCCTCCCAGCTGAATTGTCCCCTTCAGCCTCGATGACACTGGAGGAAACCTGGCTGGGAGGGAGTAAGCAGGGCAGCAGACCCATTCTCAAAAACTGAGTTAGGGTCTCCTTGGGCGTCTGTGTGATGTCACTTGTGAAAAGCCCCCTGACATGTCCAGTACATAGAATGTGCACAGCAAGTGCCATTCATTGTCCCCTTTTGTAAAAGGAGGACTTTAGTGTCCTGCATGCCTCGTAGCACTGTGGTGTGGGCCAAGTGGGATGTGGGATGCAGGCGTGCTTGGCAAACTGTGTCATAACCTACAGTTGTTTTGGGGGAACGGTTCTTAGTAAGGCTGCACCTGCCAGCCCAGGGATCCAGGCACAGGTGAGGGCTAACCCTGCCAGCCCAGGCATGGAGGGTCTTCCAGGATGTGCTCCAGGATTACAGAGCAACTGGTGCTGCTGCACACGTGAGAAGCAGACCCATCCCTCAGGTCCTGGACTCCGCCTAGCACAACTGCTTCTGAAGCCACGGCAAGAGACAGAAAGACTTGGACCATTTAGACCAGGAGGAGTGTCTTCAGAACCTCTTCTGTCTGTTGGGCTGGGGGCAGGGCCTTTGTGAAGGCGGATGTGCAAGGATCGCCTCTGGGCCCTTCCTCCAGTCCCGAGGCAGATTCACCTTCAGCTTCAGTCCCTTCCTGCTCCAGGGCCATCCCCAGGCCCGGCCATGTGTCCTCATGATCAGTGGTTTTGTGAAATTTGCAAAAGGAAGATATTTTTATATTCTTTTATTTATTTATTTATTTTAAAGGGGCTTTCCAAACTCCATAAGCTTGGTGGCCACCAGCCTGGCAGGGCAGGTCCAGGGTGATCCATTGTGCTGGGATGTTAGTGTCCCATCTGCTGCGTGTCCTCAAGGAGCTGTCATCCTGCCACAGTATGGACCCCTCCTTGTTGAGGCAGGACCCGAAAGGCATCAGGGGGAGCTGGTTCTGGACCAGACTGAGCCCACAGCTTCTGCTGCTGTGTCAATGAGACTGGAAAGGCCTCCCTGGCCTCATTCTTCCACATCTGCAAAATGGAGATAACATCTACCTGGAAAGGCTGAGCTGGTGACCCACAGGTGAAAAGCTCCTGGGAACTCAGGAATGTGGGTACACCCAGGCACTGAGATGGGGTGTGTTCTGCTGTCTAATGACCTGCTCGGGGTCATGCCCAGGGCTAGGTGATGGGATTACAGGCCGTGGAGTATAGCCAGCCTCCAGCTGGGACCTCCTGTGGCGGTGGGGCAGATGGCAGTCTGGACTGACCTTTCCTGCTCTTAGGACTGAGCGAGGAGTCTGCCTGGTTTCATGCTTGAGAGAAGCTTCTGGGGTAGGCTGAGCTGACTTTTCCTGCTCAGAAAGGAAGCCAGGCCAGTAGAGTGTGCTGGACCTGCTGCAATTGGGGTGGGAGGATAGTTCAGTGGCAGCAATGCCTTGTGTCCTATTTTTCCCCGGTGCCACCTTTGGGGGCGGAGGGGGCGGAGACTAGGCTGGGAGTGGGCTGCAAGGAATGAACATGGATTTGGGTGTCAGGCTAGGTTTCAAATCCCAACCCCATTGCTGTGGTTGAGATAGTTATGTGATCTTTCTGAGCCTCAATTTTCTCATCTTTAAAATGGGATAATAATATTTTCTCTTTACCCCCATAGTGTTATGATAAAGCTTAAACGAGATCATGTAGAACTTAACACAGTGCCTGACACATAGTAGGTGCTCAATAAATGCTGGTCCTGCCCTCGCTTGCACTTTTACCCATTGTTTGCCCCTCCCTCCCCATTGGATATGGGCTGCCTGGGGCAGAGGCTGAGTTTTGTTCAGCTATCATGACCTTCCCCAGCCTAGGCACAGTACCTTTGGGACACCTCAGATTGGTTGGTAAGAAGCTGCACTGGTCCAAAGAAAAGACTATTTCATTTTAGCTGGAAACTTGCTGCTACAAACCTACTATGTGCTCCTGTCAGAGGACTACTGTGTGGTCTCTGCCCCGCAGAGCTCCAAAGGCCACTATGGCCCTTGCGGTGCTCCTTGAGACAAGCAACTTCGTAATTCTCTTCAGAGCCCCAGGCAGCCCCTGTAATCAAATCATCGTTTGTGAGGTCTGACATCTGCTTCTCCCCACTGGAATGCAAGTGCTGCAGGGACTGTGTCACCAGGTTCCGGTGCCTGGCACCACGGGCAAATGCACGTATTTGCTAAGCGAATGGCTGTCTTTTCCTCTTCCTTCTCTGAGGTCGGGCCTGGTTCCCTTCCCGCCCCACTTTCTAGCGGGGCAAGGAAGGCCCCTGCCTCTCCCAGCTTCAGCTTCCTTGTGCGTAAAAGGGGGAAAGAACTGAGCCAGATAAACCAAGTGTTTAGCTGAGCTTGGAACAAGGTAATACGTGTTGTAAGGCCAGCAGCTGTTTTTCACATTATCTCCCGGGGTCGTTCTTCTCTGACCTTCTGAGCTCTCTCTGCCTCTGGCTGGGAGGAGCCAGGAGAACATTCCATCCCTAGCAGACCCTCCCTCTCCGCCTCACAATGGGTTTGGAGCTCTATGTGCACACTGTTTATGTTTCCCCGGCAGAGTTTATTACCCAGGCTGGCCTTCTGCAATTAATTATAAGCCCAGCAAATGACTTGTCCTTGGGAGGCTGGGCTTGGCGTAAACATTTACATACAGCCAGGGACCCGCCCAGGGGCTGGGCTCTTCGTCCAGCCTTTGGAACCGAGAGATAGAGGATCAGGGTGGTGCGGAGTGACCTTCCTTCCGCTTGGACTCGCCTCAGCCCAGAGAGTGTGCTCTTCTGCTTTCTCTTTCAATCTCTGTGGCTACCGAAGCGGAGTCCCCAGTTACAGATGAGCAGTGGAGACTGAGCAGAGTTAAGCTGTCCAAAGCCACACAGCTTGCAGGGGTGGCAGGACTTTAAGCTTCAGATGGCAGCTGTGTAGACTGAAAAAGAGAGACTAGAAATTGGGAAATTGGCAAGAGATGGCTCATTCATTAAATGTATTTGTCATGTGGGAAGGGGACTGAGGAGACAGTGGTGACTGTAAGTGACCATTTTTCCCCACACAGAATACTAGAAACACCCACAAGATGGCTCCCTTCGCAGGAAGAAGGTGGTGGCCCGTCGGGTCTCTAGTGACCATAGTCACCCCGTCTCATACATGGAAGCGACTTCAACAGGAGGGCTCTGTGTGTGCCCTACCCCATGAATTCTGCACAGGCTAATGATTCTTCATCCAGAATACTTGGGACTAGCAGTGTTTCAGAGTTTGGAATATTTGCTTGTATATAATGAAATATCTTGGACATGAGACCAAACGTGAAATTCATTTAATGTTTCTTCAGATATGTCCTATACATACGTTCTGAAGGTAAATTTATACAGTACTTTAGTGTTGCCTGTGTTTTAACTGAGACCCATCATATCACAGGAAGCCAGGTGTGGAATTTTTCACTTGTATCATTGTGTCAGTGCTCAGAAGGTTTTGGATTTTGGAGCATTTTGGATTTTGGATTTTCAAACCCTATAGGGGTGCACAGCCTGTTCAGAGGAAGATTGGTTCAAGGTTGCACAGCAGGCAGGGGTAGTGGGGACTCCTGACAAAGTACCTTTTCTGGTGCATTGGTGAGTGAGAGGTAAACTCACTGATCAGCATGGGAACCCCTCACTTGCTGAGCCATTCCCATGGCCCTCCTCCCTTCAGGGCTCAGAATTGTGATTTGTGATAGCTTCAAGCCCTGCCATTTCTGCTAAATAGTCTTGCTGGGCAGATCTCTGGAGCCACCTGCTGGAGGCCATCTTCCTCTTTGCAGGGAGGAAAGGAACTGGGTTCCGCTGCCTGTACCCACCTTTGATGGATGTGCTTGGCCCCTGGCCCTGGATCCTGGACCCCCCAGGCTGGGTGGAGCCCATCCCAGAGGATGGGACTGTACCCCAAATCTGGGCCGCTGGCTTCAGGCTGTAATGGAGTTTAGGGCTCAGTTTAAGCCGTGTACACTGCATGGTCAGCACCTTGCTAAGGGCATAGCACAAGAACACTGAGGCCCAAAAGGGGCAGTGCGTGAACTGAGAGAACGCTGGTGGGAGGCCGCATAGGGAGGGTGGTGTAGTTTGGGAGGCAGGAGGTTTTGGTCCATGTTACCACCTGTACCACAAATGAACCTCAGTGTTGTTTTCTGGGGATGAGAACACAAGAGCAGTCCTTGTTCATGGGCTCAGGGTGAAAGGTAACAGGCAACATCTGACTATCTACACTAGCCTCAAACTGGGAACAAGTGAACTAAACGTCTACTGCAGCTGTATGGACAAACAATCGGTGGTATATTCATGCCATAGAATGTTAAAAAGAAATACTGACTCATGCTAGAAAGTCAGTGAACCAAGGAAAGATTATGCTAAGTGAAAGAAGCCAGATACAACAGGTCATGTATTAGAGGAGATGATTTATGTGAAATTTCTACAATCTATCTGGAATATAATCCACAGTCAGAAAGCACACATTGGTGGCTGCCAGGGATTGGGGAGAAAGGAGAACGGGGAGAAACTATTTAATGGATAAGGGGAGTGCAAAGCCGTGAGTTTGATTCCCGGTACCAGAAGAAAAAACAAAACAACAACAATGGATAAGGGGTATTTCTGTGGAGTGATGGACATGTGTGAGAAATAGAAGTGGTTTTGCACAACATTGTCAAGACACTAAGTGCCAATGAAGTCTTTACTTTAAATGGTTAATTATATGCTATGTGAATTTCACCTCAATAATTTTTTTTAAAAATTGATAAGAATGCAAATGGCAGCATTTGTCAGGAGGTGGTATGGTTGACATGAGGATGCTAGGGTGAGGCTGTTGGAGAAGGGGTGATGTGGCATGAGAGGCTGGGCAGGGTAACGAGGCAGGGCTGGAGTAGTCTGGCAGAGTGGTTAAGATCAAGGTTCTTGTATTAGTCTGTTTTCTGTTACTGTAACAGAATACCTGAGGCTGGATACTATATAAAGCAAAGAGGTTTATTGAACTCACAGTTCTGGAGGCTCAGAAATGTGACACTGGCAAGCATTAGGCTCTGGTTAAGGCGTCATGGTGTATGGAATCATGGCAGGGGCATGTCTGAGAGATCATATGGTGAGACAGGAAGACAGAGAGTGATTCAAAGGCCAGGCTTCTTGTTTTATAACAACCCACCATATGGAAACTCACAATACCATGAGAACTACCTTAATCCCTGTGAGGGCAGTGCCTGCAGTGACTTAACTACCTCCCACTGGACCCATCTCTCCATCTCCCTCCCCTCCCCATCCCTCCCTCCTCCTCTTCCTCCCTTCTCCCTTCCCCTGTCCTACCCTCCCCCTCCCTCTCTCTCTATTTTTGGTGCTGCTGGTGATGGGATCCAACCCAGGGCCTTGCACCTGCTGAGCAAGTGCTCTGCCCCTGAACCACATCCCCAGCCAGCCACACTTCTTAAAGATCCCACCGCTTCTCACCACTGCCACACTGGGGACCTGCTTCCCACGGGGGAACCTGTGGGGGACACACTCAAAGCACATCCAGGCCACAGCCGTTCTAGGACAAGACTGCCAGGGTTCAAAGCAGTATGGTCTTTGGCTGGTTATTTATGCTTGCTTTCTTTTAGTTTCCCCAGCTATACAACAGGAATCACCTTTTGTACTACGGGAATTTTAATGTTTTATTATGGGAACCTTAAAGCATTCATGCGTAGTAAATGAGTTACTATTTGTAAAGTGCGTGGCACACAGTGAGCAGTGCATGGTAGCTGTTGTTATTAACATCCATTCACATTCTTATTTATTTGTTCATTTGCGGAGCACCCACGCAGATTCAGGCCCCGGGTAGGAATCTGGGGACACAGCTGCACACATGACTCAGTGCCTGCTCTCAGGAGCTCCCTCACATCCTGCTAGAGGAGTCAGCCTTGCATACCCCTCTCCCTGCTGCACCTGCAGTTTCAGCTGTTAATGGAAAGCCTTTGTCATCTCCTGCCGCTTCAGAGTCCTCTGAACAGGGACTGCTTCCCTTTAGGACCCCACAGGGCTTCTTCGTGGTGTTTGAAAATGCGACAGGCTTGATGCCCTAGACTTGAGGGAACCTAAGGCAAAGCCCTGGGCCGTGGTTTCCCTACTTACCATGGAAGAGGTCAGGCTGGCTGAGCTCTGAGGTTCTTCTCAACATTCTCTAAGCACCAGACCTTGGGCCTGGGGTTTTTGCTGCAGATGTGGCACTGGCAGGGTCAGGCCAGAGAGCCCTGGTGCTTGAGGTCAGAAGGGCTCCCAGAGGTTCCTGGAGGGCCTGAGAAGTGCTGGGACCTGCTGTGGATAGCGACATCCAAGCTCACTTGGAGAGCGACACACTGGACCTAGCAGGGCCTGGAGTTCACTAGCCCGTGTTGAGATGGGCCTGAAGTGTCCTGCCTATTGTGATTTAATTTATAAGTGGGCTGTCTTGTGAGAGTGGCGTTTTAGCCAGCCAAGGTAAAAATTGGGGTGAGGGTGGGGAGGGGGTCTGCCCGATGCTTGGCCCTTAGGCCTGAGTGTCTGCCTTCTTTGGGCACGGCATCCATGCCCTTTCCCACCGCTCCACAGTCATCCAGGTTCAGGGTACAGCCTCAGCTCTCCCGGACCCAAACAAACTGACTCTATCTGCTGTCTCCCCTCCCTCTGTCACCCCTCCATATTTCTGTGTTTTCACCTCCCCAGTGCCACCCTCAGTCGCCAGTCCAGCTCTCACTGTCCCCTAGCTCTGACAGCCAACACACACACACACACACACACACACACCCCGTCAGCTGGCCATGAGTTCCCTCCCATGTACTCCCAGCAAAGTCTTCCTCAGGTCTTGTACCTAACCCTCCCTACCCAGCACCCCCAAGGCTCTAATGCTCGCCTTTATCTCCCTCCCACCTCTCACTCTGCCCACCCCACCTCGTTCTGCACCTGCTGCCTTTTCTCCCCAAGCTCTCCAGCGTTTCCCAGAAATGTTCCCTGGCGGGGGGATTCAGAGGACCACTTCTTGGAAGGCGCTTGGCCTCTCTCTGCTCCTTCTAAAAACAGCTACATCTTGAGGGAGAACACAGCAGCTGAAAGCTTCCAGAACTCCTCTTCCGGGTCTCAGGAGGGAACCGACTGAGTGGGCACGGTCACAGCAGAGAGGGCAGGGGCTAAGGAGGCAGGAGGCATCAGCATCAGGTGGACGAAGCTGTTGGAGTGCCTCGATGGACACCTCCTCTCCCCACTCTTCACTTCACTGTTATGCGCCACAGGCTCCAGGCCTTGAGAACATGGCACAGTGCAGTCAGGGAGGGCCTCTTTGGGTAGGGTGTTCATTCATTTATTCAGCTCTTCATTAATCCAGGGTCGTTTACTAATGCCTCCCTGATACCAGGTCCTGTCCTGAGCTCAGGGGTCGAAGACTGGGGCCAGACCTTGTTCCTAAGGCTGCCAGGGGAGCACTTGGAAGTGCAGTACAGTCAGGTAAAGGCCA